ATGTGGGTAGTAATCTGGGATAGTGGGTCGCCTCTCCGCACTGCCCGTTTGTGCTTCAATATTCACGAACTGAGTCGTCTTTCGGTCTGCCCTGTATAATGGCAAGAACAGTCGCGACATGGCACCTGATAAACGACGCCAGACCGCTCACATACATCCCGTGGGTCTTTTAGTTGCATGACTCGCGAAGGCATGGTAGCTGGCGGACGATGAGCAATACCCACGCCGAGCTCTGTAGCGATACGTTCAGTTGCTTCTGACACATTTCCATGTACGGTAGAGGGGGCCAAAACGTTGTTGGCTCTTCTTCGTTTCTTCCCCATAGGCGTGTACTGAGGCAGCGGCTGACGGAGCTGTTCGAGTATCCATCGCTGGCCAGCTGGTCCCGAAGATGTCGTAGTTCTTGCACTCACCCCTCCGGTTTACTACAGTGTGTCTTCACCCTCTGAAAGAGTGCTCTAATACAGCCACTTTTATTCGCTTTTGGGTGGTTGCTATGGGAGCTGGGCACCTGGGTTGTGTTAGTCGCCTTTCTATAAACCGTGATGGTGAGTTCCCTGTTGGGTCTGCGCGTGAAAAGGACATCCAGGAACAGCAGTCGTCCGGCACTCTCTTCTTCCCTTGTGAATTGGATGTCAGGAAAGATGCCGTTAAGTAAGCTTTGGAAGTTCGCTAGCCTGCTCTGTTCGATTATAGCGAAAGTGTCGTCCACGTATCGGCACAGGAATGCAGGTCCGAATTGATCGAATGCGACATTTTTTTAGCTCCTGTAAGGCCAGTTCTGCGATGAGACTGGAAATTGGGGATCCCATCGGCGTCCCTTTGGTCTGCTCGTATGTTCTGTATTAAACGCAAAAGGGTACTTTGGCAGAAGAAAAAGAGTTGCATAAGATGGTCCATTTTTAGAGGACGCGCGCAGGGAAGACACGATAAAACGGCGTGGGCATGGACCAATCACAATTGCCACCCCCATTTACGCGTAGCCAACGTTTGCTGCTCCCTCATTTTCTCTGACGATGACCTCTTATGTGGAGCCGAAAGCTCAGAATAATAAAATTGCCGTTTCAGAGATCGCGTCTTTTTCTCCTTTACAACAGAAACCTGGGACACGCACATTTGCTTCTATTCGTACTAATTACACTGTTCTGTAAATTCAAGGTACCGATACTTGGTTCCACGACATTTAAAAAAAGAGCTTCTAGTTATTTGCCTCTGTCAGGTGGGTGTAATTCGCATGGACTAGGAGGACCTCGTTGCAGCTGTAGGTTACTATAGAAGAAGCATACGGTAGCCATACTACTTCTACAAAAAAACTAATAACAGCGTTAAGTTTCTGGCTGCAGTCAAGTATGAAGTGGCAAAACAAGCTAGGCATGATTCCTACGGAGCTTAAAGACAGTGTTGTGTCCGATATTGAAATGTACAATATTAAGTGAGAAGAAAGAACGCAATAACGAGGACACAAAGATATCTGACATCTGGCCGTTCAAAGGATTAACCCAGAGGCTCACTTCCTGGTTTAAAAGACGAAGGTCTTCCACCGGTCGTTTCATTTCTGCCTGGATCAATTTCTCAATTCGCTGAAAGATGGAGGAAGCAAAAGAACAGCGTAATTTACGCGTGTCGAAGTTTACACAAATCCACTGTTTTAAAAAATATGCAATGGTCAACTTGTTGCAATTTGATACTCTCCAAGGCCGCTGGGCCGCAAGATTCCAGAAGTCATTACCGCACAGGTATTAACATTCAAACGGCAGATGACCTGTCTCAGTTGAAGCAAGCTAGGGGGCCTCCATTTTAGGCTACTATTGATGCCGAGACAAATTAACTCAGTCAGCGCAAGATAAGGAAGACTGGAGTAGCCATCAGCAGCCAACCAATTCGATGAAGGTCACTCATAATAATTTACCGCTCTGGCAGCACAGGTACTAGCTAAATGCCTAGACACGCAAGTTTTGCCGATCTTGTGCCGCTGCATGATGCAGCTGCGAGAGGTTCGGCTCATTGGCAAATCCCCTGTAGATTTCTCGTGCGTTTTCTGGTATATCAACTACAATTTCCATCCTGTCTTGTTTAGTTTCCTAGGGAATTAATGCGTGAACTTGGAATAAATACTTCGGAATAAAGCGTTTCAGACTGGCTCCGAAAGTTGATAGAAATATTTAAACTAAAACCCATCAGGTACAGCGGAATAGCTGCATAATATTCACAAACTGGCAACAGGTCATGTCTGAAAAGGTCTGTTCTGAAGGATATATTCCAAAGGTGCGCAGTAACTTCCTCAGAAATTAAACAAGACAGAATATCAATCAAATTTCCTCGGGGGGTCAAGAAACGGCTGACGGATGACGGCGAATGGGTGGAAATTGCTATCAGTTTCCATGGTCACTTGGTGAGAAGCACTTGTCAACCACTAATTGTTCACCTCGATACAACTACTTGTGTAGATTCTAGACCCTGAAATCCAAGGCAAGGCGAAAATACTCATCCACTGCCTGCAATCCTTATAAATAGGTTAAAATGGTTTACATGTGATCTTAAACAAAGGGAGATCAGTAATGACTCTACACTGACTGTGATCATCTGCGCAAAAAAGAAGAATACCCACTGACATGAAATAATGGCAACAACAAAGGATATGGAAATAGGTTAAATGTTATGCCGTAAGGTTGACCATAACGGGATCCCATGACGTTACGCTGCGTCAATATTAGTAGCAAAGAGAGTCCCTACTGTGGATTGTTCAACCGTAGAATTAAAACTGTTTCCGAAAGACAATTTCGGTGACCCTGTCGAATAGCTCGACTTTCGGCTCACCTACGGCAATCTTCAAGAAGCATCAAGAAGCAAATGCTAATGACCTTTTTTCTGACGGGCAACCACAAAAGTATCCCGAATAATTTTCTCTACATTTGGCTCATGGGCCTTTGCGATTCAAGTAACTTACAAAGCTAACTAAGACAAATGTAATAGATGGAGTTCTAGTACTGCACTAAGCCAAGGTCATTCAAGTAATCGCATGAAGTGACCAGGAAGGTGATCCACCGCTCTTTTGAAGCCACAGAGTCAAGCTAACTTGACTGTATGCCGTATTTCACTATGGAAAGTAAAGCAGTAGAGTGCAATAAGCCTATTAATTCATGAAAACACCGTTTTTAATTGACCAAATAAATTAGTTCGAAAGGTTCAACTTTAGTTGCAGACAAAATCGAAGCATACGCAGCCGGCCCGATGTCTAAGAAAAGGAAATGCCTGTAAGATCTCGAAGTCGAATTTAACCTAGTGTCCCAATTAAAGAATGAAAGAACATAGAATATAATCAAGCGCTTTTAAGAATACGCGCAACAATATAAATTTGGCGATAACTCACTGAGGTACAGAATAAAAAATACAAACGTTGACTGAACTTTTATAAAAGGGTTTAATTATCAACAGGAAGAGACTTGGCGTCTCTTTAAGAAGACTATTGAAAGGAGATAAAAACCGCCAACTATGCGATCATTTTCTGAGTCTTATTCGTCTTATTCACAAACTCTGGATTAGGTGAAAAGCGTTCACGGCACGTCGTTCTCAGAATAGTCGTCAGAATGCCTCACCACTGTCGGGCAGAAAAATGGAAAGGATTTCGCTGGTAGTGGATTATTTGTCCGTATTAACGGTTCAGTCAGCACCTACTTTACAACCTAGACGTCTACCCCATTGGACAGTGGTTTGAAGGGACCCAGTGTAGTTTGGACGTTGTATTCCCTAAAAATTTTTCTTTTGCGTCAGGATAACTAAAAAACCAAACTGTGATCACCCCAAAGATTATGCACATTTTAATTTAGACCATTAGTAGAAAGTACATTCCAGGCAGGCATGTAGGTTTCGACCGCTACAAGCAGCTACACGCCTATGATAGAAAAGCCACTGCTGCATCTAGCAGTCCGCTCATAGCCGTCGTCGCCCACGTTTGCGCCTGAACGAGGAGAGAAGGAAAGTAACTGCTATCATCGTGACAGTCACCCCAACCGATTTAAGTCGATCCATCTTACCAATTACAAGTTCTCCCAAGAACGGTCGCTAGCACGCCCTACTCAATTCACGTCCCTTTCCTCCAGTCCATGGGTGTAAGAGGGGAAGGGGAGGGAGGCGAGATAAGCGACCGAGTCGGAGATGAGGATGCGCTCTCCATAAGTCATCTGAGCGGCGTTCAGTTTGGCCTGACTTATTTCTCTCTCTCTTTCTAGTACACACACACACCTCCCTTACGGACAGATCGTCCACAAACGCAGACGCGCATAGCTAGAAAAGTTAACAGAAAATGGCAACTGAAGAAGTTGAACGCCGGACGAGGGAGCATAACGCAAATTCGCATGGATGGCGGTAGTGCCCTCGGGATGGCTTCTAAAAGCAACGCACATTTCTAATAAAGCAGGGTGGTTGTCGCTAGCCAGTAAAGTCAACGTGTAACGTTTGTTCACGTTAAAGGAGCCAATCAGTCGTTTCCTTTGCCGCAGTTTTATAACACGCTATTATATTTCCCAAAGGGGAGCCCCACTGAGAAAGCAGTTTTTTACAACTTCGTCCCCCGTTTGTCTTAATTTGTTTCGACTTGCATCAAGGAGTGGAATTGAAGAAAACTCGGGAAATGGTAGGCTAGAAGTACGCCAGTCAGCCTTCACGATTTAAACAATAAACAGCAGTACTATAACAGTACTACAGCGGAGAAAACCAGGACTGAGTGAACCGTGGCTCAGTGGCATAGAGCAGTTTGGAGCCTCGGATAGTGCACAAACTGGGTTTGGGTAT